CCTGGCTTAGAATTGCTAATTTTCAGAATCTCTATCAGTGATATTTCTCATAATATAGGCCCCAAGCTCATGGCTTTATTATGGGTTTTTTTCCAGGAGAATTAGTGAAACTGTCATTTTATTCCTCCTCTAAAGTGACTCTGTTTAATTGCAGACACCTACAGGCATTGCAGGTGCTTAGGTAACATCTGCCAAAAATCACTGTGAGCCTCTTCAAGCACTGAGATGCTGAAATGTACTATTTCCTGTTACTATGGGATGAAGAGCCCTTGAGGTTATTGCAATTAAACTTGCATCTGTGCTTAGTGTCCCTGCATTGCAGCTATGCTGTGAAAAGTTTGCCTTTAAGTTGGGATGCTCAGGTTTAGGTTGAATCCAGGTAGCACAGCCACAGCCACAGTATATGAATCTATGACACCTGGAAACAGCTGTCCATATCCAGGCTGTATCTGGTTTTGTAGATGATTAAAAGGTGAAATTTTCTCATACTGTGTAATCAATCACTCTACCTCTCTCCCTCCCCACCATTCCTCTCTCTCCATACACAGTCTCATTGTAATCAATCACTCTACCTCTCTCCCTCCCCACCATTCCTCTCTCTCCATACACAGTCTCATACACACACACACACACACACACTCTCTCTCTCTCTCTCTCACACACACACACACACACACACACACATACACACACACTCTCTCTCTCTCACACACACACACACCTGTATCAGTGACAATTTTGATGCTTAGTATTATTTACAGGTCTGAAAACAAACATTGAGGACATGTCATGATTCCACATACTGTTTGCCAACACACACACAAAAAAATGTCATATAAAGCAAGCCCTGTGCCCTCACCACAAGTGGCCCTCCTAGCTCCTGTCTTATGGTCAGTCTCAGACCCACATGAAGCTACTCCAGACTGAATTTCATATCATAGCTAGTCACAGCACTTGACAATAGCTTTATTAAGGTTATTTAGCTCACTTCAAATATTGTACTTTAAACAAACAATCCAAGACAAATTTATTTATTTTTCTATTGGAAAGAGAGTAGTCCAGAGCTGTTCAAAGACAGCAATGCTCTTATTACTCTCTGCAGGTCTGGTTTTAAGAGGAGTTTCCCACTCATTTTGATAGAATCCATCAGCATCCTTGAGTCCAAACCTATAATTTCATTCCATTATGACTACCTACACACAGGATTGTGAGTCACAATCATCACTGACTACTGCATGGGTGCCTGGAGAAAGGTTCTACATATTCAGGTTTTTTCTTAGTGACTAAACATGATGAAGACTAAGACCAACACAGGTAGGAAAAAATTCTGCAGGAGTTTGGTGACAGGCAACAACAATGTCATGCCTCTGGAAAAAATGCAATGTTCATTCAACTAATATTGAGAATCAAAAGGAGTTTGAGGATATTTGCGCTCTGTAATCAACTTATTTCATTATGCATGTTTTTCATTATTTCATGTATGCATGTAGTCTTGCCTCCTTGAAAAAAGAATTGAAAGGAGCTCACAGATACATGTCCTGAGCAATTCAAGACATGCCAGTGTGAAAGTACACATGAAACCAGAGGTGAACTTCGTAATCAAACACTGCATAACATCTGAGGTAGGCTGCAAATTTATTTCTAGCTTCTGAACAATGAAAGAAAAGCCTGCAACTTTTAATCCATCAAGTTATACTGATATCTTTATAACTCTCTTGGGCTAGGAAATTTAATGCAAAAAACATATTCAAGCAAAGTCAGGGGCTCTGATTTTCACCTTCACACAGCAGAGAGCAATGTTATGGTACTCTCTGACTGTGTTTCAGCAGCAGTACTGACAGGAAGTTACTGGTCCAGCTCCACAGGTGCTCTGCCCTCACTGAGGATGTGTCCCTTGTGTGGGGGACTGAGATTCTCAAATGGGGGAGTTTTTGTCCAACAAGAGGCATTTTGGGGGTTGTTACAACCTCGGGAAAGGGTTGTTGATGGCAGTTAGTTGGTAGAGTCCAAGGATGCTAGACTCTTGTATTGTCCAAGGCAGACCATTCAAGGATAGTCCCAGCACAGGGTCATCTGCCCAAAGACTGAGGCTGAAAATCCCAGAGTATGTTTAACCAAATTTGAACACTTCAATATTGACACACATTAAACTTTACACAGTACCCTATGAATATTTACACCTTTCATATTTTGCATGTTACTTAAAATGTTTCTAATTTTTTTTCAAAAAGGAAACCCTGGAGCAATCTGGAGGAGTGGTGTGTGTGTGTGTGTGTGTGTGTGTGTGTGTGTGTACATACAAGTACATATATATGTGCATATATGTGCATGTGTGTTTTAATAAAATATTTTTTCTGGTTTTATAAAATAAGATTCTTTTTTGTGCTTGTTTTATAGACTCAGTCTACTCTAAAAAATAGCAGAAGAACTTTCATAATTGAGAGAAGTTGGGAAAATGAGCCTAAACATTTGTTCTGGGTCCTGGGTAAAATGACAAAAAGAATTTCAAAGTAGGAGGTTTAGACACAGCCATGTGGTTTCATCCTGAGAGAGGAAGAATCCCTCCTAGATTATAGAACTTTGGTGTTCCTGGATGTCACAGCTAAAGGACATCACAATAAGTCTATCTGTGTTATAAAAAGCAGGCACTGCTTATAAAAACTGGAACCCATCCCATCTCTGAACTGACTGAGCAGATAAGGCTGGCCAAAAACAATGAGTATTACAGCAAGGATAGGAAGACTGTTGGAGAGAAGAGAGTGTAAACACATGGAAAGACTACCAAAGGAAGTTGAGAAATTGTCATCTGATGATATAATTTAGATTTGGACAGAGAACTGCATGCAAAAGCACCTGCAGCTCTGACCTGCCAGATGCAGGTGCAGAGTTAGTGGCCTCCTGATGTCCCTACAGCTGAATGGCTTTTGGCTGTGCCAGCTGCCTCTTGTGACAATGGAGGAAGCCTGGGCTCAGCTACATGTCTTACACATTCAATTTAATACAACTGCTGCAGACTTGGCTTTATTCTACCTTACCAGGTCCATCATTCTAGTCTTTGCTTTTCTTTCTTGTCCTTTCCCCCTCTTTTCTGAGAAGTCACTAGTCCTCTAGGTCTGGAAAAGCCAACTCAAAACGGTAAAATAATAATGAAACTTAGCTTTGCTCCCAACTCCCTCAATAATTTTTGATTCTTGCAACATAAAAGTTAGATGTTTCAAGATTTGGTTTGTTTCTAGATGAGGCTGGGCAGATGTTTTTATGAAGCTAAGTAGTGTTCCCACCTGATGTCGATATGATTGTGGATGTAACCTGCTGTGCCCATGCATGCTGAGAGTAAATTAGAAAATACTAGGAGTTCTTAGAGGTCTGTCTTTGCATCACACAGGAGCCAATTCATGGGGGAATTGCAAACATCTGCATTGCCATGGATGCAGAGGAAAACTTTATCCACATAGGCTATAGCTGCTTATGCAAGAAAAATTCAGCTGAAAGCAGCCTCAGAACCATCCATAACCATGCCTCTGAACCAGGTATGGTGGCCCATGCCTGTGATCCTAGCACCCTAGGAGGCAGAGGTAGGAGGACTGTACATTTGATCCCAGTTCAGGCAACTAAGAAACAGCATGATCCTGTCTCTCAAGATAAAGATAAATAAAAAAAGCCTGGATATGTAGCTCAGTGCAAAAGCATTGGATTCAATTTCCAGTTTAAAAAAAAATGTTTCTGGATAGATGATTAAATGTAGTACTTTAAAACATTACTTTAAATCAGTTGATGTGTTAATCATAGAAAATTCTTCCTGCACTCTACCAAGTCATACTTCATGGCCTCCTTCCTTCAAGTTATTTTATGTACTTTATTATCTTCAAAGAAAACCTCTTTATTATTAAGTCTATAATTCATTTTTATTAGTTCAACCAGCACTTTTATCCCATTTATAACTGTTTGATAGCTGTGTCTGTAAAAATAGTTATTACATACTAGCTACATAATAGGTGATAGCAATGTGGTTTTACATACATATAAAGTGATCCTACATACCTATCATACAAAAGTACTAACTATTCAATAAATAAAATGATAAAAGACACTGAGACTACTCTTAGTGACAGAAACTCTGATGTTAGATAAATGAAAGAAAAATGAAAGAAGGAACACGCTTGTCCCTAGGAATGCTGGTGTCATGGGCCATGAAGCTCTCACTCCTCATACTCTGATGGGGTTGAGAAATAGTTCCTAATTGGTTTCCTGGCTTTGTTAACTCCGCTCATCCTATGCAGAACTAATCTGACAAAGCATTACCAATACCCCTCAATGAAATACTTCAGAAAACTATCTCAAAACCACATGCATCTGACAAGGATTGAAATAATGATGTGCTGATGTTTACTTGCAGCTGATATGAAACCTGTTGCCATGTCTGTCCCCAAAAATTAGATGTGCAATCTCAGCTGGTTTCCAGAACAGGGCACAAGCAGAAAGAACCTCCAAGAACTTAGTTAAAAGTCACAGGACTGCAATGCCCTTGTGTGCCCAGTGACCTCTGTGACCTCTTCACAACCATCCACTTTGGCTGTGCCTAAGTAAAGCGGTAAAGAGTGAGGGCCTGGCTGAGGGAGGAAGCACAGCCATGTGGTTTCACCCTGAGAGAGGGAGAATCCCTCCTACATTATAGATGTTTGGTGTTCCTGGATGTCATTATCTTAGCCGCTATGACTATAAATGCTATTAGCAGTTAGAATGCACATTATCTGGTCCTTTTAAAAACTTCATTAGATCCTTTATATTTCTGATTCTCATAGCAATTAAAGTTATGATGGCAAATCCACATTTGTCTCAAACATGCTTCTGTAAGAGGATTACAACAGACTTAGCGTGTGCAGCATGGTGGGAATCTCTGTCCTATGCCCACAGAATTAGTGTTCAGAAAATAGTTTCCTTATTATATCATAAAATGCCAGACAAATAGCAACAGCATATTTTCAAAGCAATGAACTTACTTTCAGTGCAAATAGGGCAGCATCCTTTTCGGTTGAGAATTTTACCCTAATCAGGAGAGAAAAAATAAAGAGTTAATGCTACAAACAGGGCCGGCTGAAGACAAAGCTCTTCGTTCAAATCCAATACGAGATAAACCAAGGAAATCAGGCCAATCTGTGTTTGAACTCAGCATCCAGAAGGTGTTGATGATGATAAAGTAGGGTGTCACCTGTTGAGCTCTGAGGCCAGGCCAGTTCATTTCAAAGGCCTTGCTGTTTCTATCCTCTGAGAAGTGTGAGGTTTCTCATGGAGCATGAAGGGAAGACGGACAGTCCCCTCACAGATATGCAGGGCACACTTAGTGAGTGCTGCCTGCCAGCCTGCCAGTCTGGTCAAGGTCTTCTTTTTATCTTTGTGGGAGGAGCCCAAAAAGTAAACTGCAATCCAGGCTGAGGGCTCATGCAACCTGTGGACACCAGCTGTGTCCAGGCTGTGGGTCAGGCTCTGTGCGAGGCCTTCTTGCACAAAGTGGTACCTTACCCATGTGATGTCACTGGGATGCAGTCAGAGCCACCAGGTCTGAGCCCTCTGAAACACTAAGTGATTTCCATTACCTTTTTGGAAATTCAGTTCAATTTGCCCTCACTGCATATCTTTTCATGTTTTTTACCTCATGACCTTTAGAAAAAGATGTGCATTCTCCGGGTTCAGAGGACAGCTCTGTCTCATCTCTGGCTCATTGGTTTGGTTAATCATAGATAAAAGAAATGTGAAAGAAGATGAGCATTTAGGGAGCACTTGCTTTGTCACAGACTTCCTGTAGATCCCTCAAGTGCATTACCTAACATTGGGTTAGTTACATTGGTTTGAGGAGTTAACTATATTAAGGGTTAATGAATGTTAGAGATTATACCCATTGTTATTAGGAATCACAAGAACCTGAGCAGCTGAGCATTTCCTTTATTGTAGATGAAAAATTGATGTCATGCAGCAGGGAAAGTAGAACCTAGAATTAATCTTGGTTTTATGCTACCCAAGGCTGTGTTCTTTCCCCTGCAGATTTCCATTCTCCATAATCCTGTATTTTAAAAGAATCTAACAGTGATTTTCTACTCTACATTTCACATTCGTCATACTGTATCTCAGTTAAACACCACACCACTCCAGATGGAGGATCCTCATACTGTTTGTAGGGACTAAGGAAAAGAGGCCATAGAGAGGTCACCTACAACCTGTGACAAGGACTAGGTCACACAGTGCTCATTCACTGAGGCCAGGTGAATCAAGAACAGGTGTGGGTATCTTAAAAATGAAAGTTATATTGACTTTGATAGGCAGATTAATTACAGTATTAAGCAACTAGAACCAGGACTCATTCTGGTTTTCTTCCATCATCTAGAACACTTTAAAGGCCATGGCAACTTTGAATGAGACGTCAAACTCAGCCCCTTAGCCATGCCATGGCTCGAGGGAATCCCGACACCATCTCATTTCCTAAAGATCTAGTACCTGTTTCTGTTTCTGTTTGGCATGGAGCCTTCTTTAATCTGTCATGACAGGAATCATCTGAGAACAAAGCCAGATGAGTAATCTTAACCCCTGAAACAATGGCTGCAGGAGGACAGAGAAAGGCTGTCTATCCCCATGGAGCAGAGAAGTTTAATGCCACGTCCAGAACCCAATGCGGCTTGATTTCCTACATCCACATGAAGGCAGAAACTGCCATCTCCCTTATGGGGAAAGAAGGTAGCACACCTATAATGGTACACAAGATCCTAATGAGATAACTGACGATGTGAAATAGGAGGAAAAGGGCTAAAGGTGTAGGGGAAGTGGGAAGGGTAGGGGAAAGGAAATAAAGGAAAAATATATGAGAAAATGAAAAATGGAAATACAGTATTTGTAAATGGGGAGAGGAGGAGAGGGTGAAGGGAGGGCAGGGACAAGGGGAAAAAATGAGAACCAAGACCTGTCATCTAAAGGTACAAGATCCCAATAATGAGGGTAACTGAATTATATACCTAAAACGTACCAATAAACTCAATGAGAGAGAGAAAAAGAAAGAAAAAGAAAGAGAAAGAAAGAAAGAAAGAAAGAAAGAAAGAAAGAAAGAAAGAAAGAAAGAAAGAAAGAAAGAAAGAAAGAAGCACAGATCATGTCATAAAATCAGGTGGGAAATGAACCAAGAACAAGGCGTGAAGCCAGAGGGCCCAGTTCCATGTAACTGGCTCTGATGTAATCTGCAAACTGTGTAAGAAGGGGCACTCAGAGCACCCACATCAAGACATCTCAGCGTTTAATTGTTACCAGTCCTGGGACCACAGAGGAAGCTTCAGTACATGTCTGTGGGACTGAGAAGAAAGTGTTGTGACGATATTACCCAGTCCCCACTGGGACCCTCATAGCTCTTCCTTTGTTCCTGCAGAGGTGCCAGTGGGGCAGGCAGGGAACCTTACCTTAAATTCTGCAGCAAGATATACAGACTTCTGGGAAAGAGCTGCGTGGAATTCAAGAAGAATAGAACAGGGAATACAGATGCTCTTTATGTTATTTTATCTTTTTCAATTCCCCCAGGTGATGTGGGGAAGGAAAGGTGAGTTTGCAAACGATTCACATGGGAAGCTAAGCCACCTTCCATAATCTTCCTGCTGGTCTCTGAGGAGAGAAGTGGGAAGGGGGGAACCAGCTGGAAAGATGCCTAGAAACAAAAGGGTGGTCCTTGTGGCTGGATCTTGGTCAAGGTGCTAACAAACTTGGCAAGGCACAGAAGGAAGGGCTGGGAAAGGGCTTGATGGGGAGGGGTGGATGTGCCTGGCCCAAATGTGGTCCATGAACAAGGACCACTTATGAGACGCTGGTTACACAAATAGTGTTGGATTTCCTGCAACAAGAGGATAGTAACAATCATCAACCCTGCTCCAAGCTCCAAGAAAGCCCAGGTAGGTGGGGTTGACACAGCCCCCTATTCGTGTCTTGCAGGAGGAGGAAACCAAGGTTACTAACACATACTGAGAGACTCATTAGCATCAAAGGCCCCAGAGGATGGCATAAACAATATGAATCCCTTTCCCAATGAATATTTATGAGCAGCCTGTGCTCATGTCTGTTCACTGCATCTCTTCTTTTTATAGGAGGTTTTCTGTTTTCTATCTGAGGACTTTTAGAGAAAAACTAATTAGGGTTTTTTTTTTCTTCTTTTCACTCCCCTTTATTAAGTTGTCCAAGGGCAACAGCTTTCAGATTTTGTAACTCCTTTGGGACTCAAGTAAAAATAGCAACTTTTTATTTATCATAATACCAGATGTGAATGAAATAAAAAGCTCTCTATGATAGAGAAAGGAGGATAAGTCTTCAGTATATGGATATGTTGTTCTCATTCCCTGGAAGGTACTGAATGGATTTTGTATTTTCCCAAAATGCATGAAACCCTGAAAAGTGTCAAGTTGCTAAGATGAATTCAAGGAGGCTGTTGCTTGAGAATATAATGATGCTTTATTCAACATGCTGGACTACAGGTTTTGAAAGGAGATATTTCCACAAGAATGCTATTTCCATCTGGGGCCAGGGTGACAGAGAAGAACAAAGGGCCTGGGCTGCTACTATGCAAGAGAAATTTCTTGGGAGATTTGCTAGTAAGCCACCACACTTCACTCTGTGCATGAGAAGAAAGCTGTGATTTGAGAAGGGAGAAGAGGGAGGAAAAGGCAACAGATGGTAAGGATAGTAAACAGAAAATGTAGCAAAAGCAACCAGGAAAACAGACCTAAGCAGAGTTGAAAATGTTTTAAAAATTGGGAGAAGTCAGTAAGAAGTCAGGGAACTAGGACAAGAGCTTGCTAGAAATGTTCACATTAGAGGATGAGGGAGGATGACAGGCAACCATGGCTACACAGGACACTTCCTAAGGGGCTCAGGTAAAGAGAAAGTGGGTTGCTGTCCAGACATACCTGTGGGCAACTGCTGACGGGCACACACTGCTTCCTGCGACACTCTGTCTTGCCAGTCACACAGGCACAGATGGTACAGTTGGCCAAAGACCACACCTCACCCTCCTGTGGGACAGAGCACAGGATTCTGTGGGAGCTAGGCCAGAGAGAGGGACCACTCCACTTGGGAAAGAAAGTCTTGCCCTGGTTTAAACATGCCATCTTTAAACCTAAGGTGACTCTGAGGTGTCTTCTGTACAGGGCATGATCAAGATATATGGTTAATGTATAAAATTTTTAAAAAATTATTATAGTAAAAGACACATTGCTATAAATTCCCCTTAAAATTCTCTCACTCAATTCCAATACTCTTATCTCATTATTCCTGCCAGTTTCCAAATCAGTTCTAGAAGTCCTCTTTCCTGAATGACTTTTACGAGGTATGATAAAAAATACACAAAAGTACAGTGAATGTTGCTGCCAAGTGCCATCCAATGAAAAGGCAGACTCACAAAATATGGTCTGTCCTTATCCACCTTATTCACTGCATCTGGCAATGTGTCACTTATGGCTCTTCCCCAAAATCAAAATGACCATGAAAGCTCAAGGTTTCAAATGGATTCAGGATATAGAGGCAGACACAACAGGGAAACTAAACACACCTAGGAAATAGGACTTCCAGGACTGGTTCAGAAAAGGGTAAGGATGATGGGATGAGTGTATTCAAAGTGATGGAAATATTTTGAAAGAGATTCATGGCAATGTACTGCAGCCATACTTAAAAATTTAAACATTTAGTGTGCATGTGCTCTCCCTCTAGGATATAAGAGAATTTCCATGTGTCTAGCCAAGTCATATTTCCATCTTATTCCTCATGCATTGTTTAGTTCCACCCTGGGAGACAGCAGCTATGAATGTTTGTACAGGGTACAAGAACAACATGCTAATTTCCCTGTTTGATAGGACTGAAATAATGGTTATCCCAGGCACCAGGAGTTAATTGCGATGATGAGAAGCAGTTGGTTTACTTTTGGACATGCCACAGTTCTGAACCATCTGGACATGGAACAGGGTACCTGAAAGTACAGAGCCCAGACAGAAGATGCCACCAGCCATGCAGTTTATTCCTGCCTGCTGGCACTCTCTTTCCACAAAGCAGAACAGCACTTGGGTAAACATTTCTTTGCTCACACAGAAAGTCCCACTTGAGGAATTTCTTTGGCCTACTGGATTTCTGATCAGCAATTGCCCTGTATGGAGCCAGGATCGAACAAGCAAAGATATCTCAAAATCCATACTTGTATTCTAAGAAGGCTGTGTTCCGCAGAGTTGGGCCTGAAAATACAATGAAGGATCCTTCCCAGGCTTGTGGATCCAGAAAAACAAATATCAATGTTTGTTGACTTCTCCTTCTCCTTTTCTTCTTTACTTTGTGAAATATTTTAAAAACCACCTATCCTCTGGTGCCTTTGTTCTTTTGTTTTGTTTTGTTTTGTTTTGTTTTTTGGTACCAGGGATCGAACTCAGGTCCTTGTGCTTGTGAAGCAGGCAGCAGAACCACTGAGCTAAATCTCTGGCCCCTCTGGTAACTTTTTGATGAAAAAGACCTGACTCAACTGATTTAAAGATACCAGACTTCAGACAAATAAAAGAACCTTTTTACAAGGAGACTTAAAAGTGCTTTGCACAAAACAACCCAATATGAGAGGGCATCTACTTTATCTTGGTGCTCAAAAGCAAAGAATGACTTTGTGTACAGAACAGGGAGTGGTCTTGAAAGCTGATGTAAACATAATACACACGCATGCCTCTCTGTCAGGCAGGACACATCACAGCTTCTCAGAGAGTCCCTGAGAACCAAGGCCTCTCCTCCAGCTGTGTCAGTGACCAGAAAGTCTGGCCAGAGAAGCTTCAAAACTGAGTTGGTTCTGAGGTTTCAATTCCCAAGGGTATCATGAAGTGACATCTTTGGGTGCAGAGTGAGTCCCTCCATGCTTGAAAATAGACTAAATGAGAGATGGGGAAACTTAGAAGAGTCTGTAACCTGCTCCCAGGAGTATAATGGTCAGTGTACAACTTCCCACTGTCAGCACCAGGAAATACCAAGAATCACACTTGTGGTGGCTGAATGCCAGCAGACATCTTGTCCCTTCAGCTGTGACAGCAACTTCTCACCACTATGGATCATCCCACCTGTGCTGGCCACACACACCAGGACAGTCCTCACCTGATTTAGCTTGAAAAGAGTCTCTGTGAAAAACTTCTAAAAAACATGGGGTTAATCTTGGCAAGGACCCCTAAGCAGACCCACATGAATGAGATGCTCCCAGCATCAGACACCCACAACCATACCACCCACTGGCAAAGGCAACAGTGCAGTTCAGGTTTGGATGTTCTACCAGGAATGAAGCCAAAGGAAAAATAGTTTTCAAACAGTTGCCACTATGTCCCATCTGCTCTTACTTGATGCTAAATATGTGTGTGTGTGTGTGTGTGTGTGTGTGTGTGTGTGTATAATACTGCAATATACATGAACACATTGGATACACATAAGTATATGCATAGCATGTGCATATAGATTGTGGAAGTCTAACCTGCATTACCCTGGAGATGTTTAACAGTCAGCACAAAGCAACAGTGCTCATGAATATGGCCACAACATACCTGGAAAATCTTGTTGCCAAACTTGCACACGCTAATGTTGTCCAGGGGCAATTGCAGGAGGCATTGCTCACAACAGGCCTCCTCATCTCTGTCACAGCTACCAGGCTGGGAGCATTTCTTCTTACACACCATGGTGGAGTCCTAGGGACCCAAAGGTAAATAGGAAATTAAAGATGACTTTCCCCAGGTGGACCAGATATCCAACCCAGCCTTCCTGCCTTCCTTCTATAACTCACATGTAACTTCTCTAAAGCTTATCTTTCAGGTACTGTGTGTGTGTGTGTGTGTGTGTGTGTGTGTGTTTGTTTGTTTGGTACTGAGGATCAAACTTGTGCTTGCAAGGCAGGCAGCAGCACCACTGAGTTAAATCCCCAGCCCCGGATACCATATTTTAATGTGTTGGAATAAATATTTCATTCTATTGAAAATGTGACCTGGTGATTAGATCTGGGCTAGGCTGTGGGGCATTTTAGTGCCTGGGAACAGCAGGCAAACATTCTCCACCTTTGGGTAGTTTACAGTCCCATGCTCAAGAGACCGGTCCACTCCAGCCAGCAAGTGGCAAGGAAGCCTTTCTCACTGCAAACAGAATGTCTCCTTCATCTTTCTTCTTGCCCTTTTCTTCCACATTATACCTTAACAAAACCAGGCACACGCCTATAATCCCAACACTCGGGAGGCTGAGGCAGGAGGATTGCTGTGAGTTCGAGACTAGCCTGGGCTACATAATGAGTTCCAGGTCAGCTTCAACTACATAGTGAGATCCTGTCTCAAAAACAAACAAACAAACAAACAAAAACCACATTATACCTTAATAGAACTCTGTTGGGTCCCTACCTCCTTGAATTTATGCCACCTTGGGGATCTCATGGAAAAGGATATATTTTTTTATCAAAGAGCATCAATTAAGAGCTAACCTACCAGCCCAGTTGACTGACCATGTGTGTGCTGTGTCTGCAAAGGAACTGAATGAGCAGTTTGACCTGGGTTCTAGAGCTCCACTGTATAAGATATGACTTTGACCAGGCCATTTAACCTCCAGGGAGTGAGAGTCAGAAGTGTTACTTAAAGTATTTCATGATATTCGACCTATAAGGTATCAGGTTTACTGTGTGTTTCCAATGTAAAGTAAATGGCACCTAGAAATTATTAAAAATCAACTCATAACTTGCAAAAACATATACTTTCTCAAACTTTATGTTCTGATTTCTATTTTGAATAACAGGTACTCACTAGCTTTGGAATAATGTGTCCTTCACTTTAGATCTCCTGGTTGGTCTTAATATCTATGTGCCTCTCTTTCCTTCTCTAGCCCTTTAGAAACTGAAAACAAAACAATAACACCCATCACCAACAAAATAGATTATTTTAAAATTGGATTCCCCAGACATTCCAGTTAAGTCACTCACCATGACCCCAAAGCCCTCATGGTAAATGCTTCTCTTCCTGGTTTCACACACAATTTACTACATAAGGATGTTTGCGTATGCGTGATGTGCATCCCTCTAAAATTCTGGGGCTGTGGAATTCTTTCTTTACCAAGAATTAGACTGCCAGCTGCCTCCAGATAAAAGCAAACTATAGCTCAAGGAAGACATGGCACAACGAGCAACACAAATACTATTTTCCCAAACCACCAGGCTCAGCTTTGTGTGGGACTATAAATCCATGCCTGTCCATTCCCTTCAGTGTAATTAAAGCCATTGTCACTTTCTGGCGTGTTCGAGAATTCACGATGGATACTGGATCCAGGGAACATGGCCACATGTTTATGTCTGGCTTTGGAAATGTTCAGGACTGTCCTCAGAGTGTGGCTCTCACCACAGAAACCACATTGTGGGTCCCCAGAGGATGAGGTGAGAGCAGGGTGCTGCACATGAACTACCTGGTGCCCATAAGTGTGATTTCACTTGTGAAGTGGCACCACTGATCCTATGCCTGATAAATACCATTGCTACTGGCTAATAACCCTGAAACTCTAACCCTTTTGTGGGTATGTGTGCCACAGCCCCTCTGTACCACCTCACCTTACAGGTACATGCTGTGCAGTTGTCATAGAGAAATGAAGATCCATTGTCATACACATTGCTGTGAAAGAGGCAGCTCCCAAAAGGAAGGTCAAACACCTTCCTCTGACCTAGAGGGAAGCAACAACACATCATGAGACAGAAGCCAAGCATGTCTCATTGTGTAATCAACAATTACATCACAGGATGTTAAGCACCTCCCAAGAGCAATTAAATCTGGTGCACAAAGAGAGAGCCTTGGGCCAGATGAACCAGGAGATCTCTGGGGGTCATTAATTTAGAGGATCACTGATAAAAAGAGTTTGATACTACCATGAACCCGGACTTTCAACAAATCATGATTATACATCCACCACAGTAAACCATGATGTCTTAGAAATAAAGGCCTCCATAGGGCTTACAAACACATAGAGGCTATTTCAACACAATGACATGGTAAATTCTGAAAAGAAACCAACATGGGAAGTGTGGGGACAGGGAAGTCATAGAGAATTTCTAGGCTACACGAGCTGTATCTCAAACACAAATTCAACCAACCCCCAAAGTGGATAGGATAGGTGGAGGTAGAAGGAGTCAAGATACCTCAAGGACTAGAATTAGCAAAGGGAGCTAATGAAAGAGCATCTATGATGCTCCATGATCCCACAAACCTATGCTGAAACCTAATTGCCAATAGAGCACTAGAAGTTAGGACCTTGGAGAGGCAGTTAGGTCATGAGGATGGAGCCTTCGTGAATGGGGCTGGTGCTCTTCTAAAAGCAGTCTGAAAGAGCATCCTAGTCCCTTCCATTAAGTGAGGTCACACACACTAAGAAGGGCACCATCTATGAGCTGGAAAGCAGAACTTTATGAGACGCAGAATCTACGAGCAATTTGATCTTGGACTTCCCACCTGCACATCTGTGAGAAACATATTTCTATTGTTTAAAAGCTAACCCATTGTGGTATTTCATTATAGCAAAATTAACATATTAACACAGAAATTACATAATGGCCAGTATTCTTGGAGGCTAAGTCAGGAGGATTATAAATCTGAGCCCTGCCTGGGAAACTTAATGACTTAGTGAGACCTCGGCTCAAAATAAAAATAAAAGGGGCTTGGATATAGCTCAATGCTAAGGTCCTCGGCTCAATCCTCAGTACTTGGGGGAGGGGCATAAAAGCATAAAGGATGAAGCTAACTCAGAGGGAAAAGAGGCAGAATCCAATGCCACATACCAAGTGCCCAACCTTTCATAGGCATTATATCTGTAGAATTATCTCACCTTCCACTGATAAGAGAATTGGATTCACAACCAGAAACTCCAAGAAGGCAAAACACAAATATGAAGCAAAATCCAATTTCTTCCTTTCTTTCAAGTTTGAGATTTTACTCCCTAATGTACTTCTAGCCATCTATAGAGCATTAGTTCAATTAAAGATAAAGTTAAGAAACCAGCAATTCAGGGCTGGTGATTTAGCCGGCACCACACAGGTCCACAGTTTGATTCCTGGTACCAGGAGAGAAAAAAAAGAAAGAAAGAAACCAGCAATTCATATTCACTACTCATATTTATACCCAATCTTTTTTCTTGAAAAATAAAAGAATAACAATCTTTATCAGTAAGCTGTGCTCTTTTTGGAATCAGAGTTGTTGAAAATAGTAAGAGTCTTCTTATCAGAGTTAGCTTGTAGGCCAGAATATAGCATAGATTCAGAACTAAATCATTAGTTTGGCTTTCAACCTGAAGAATAAATTTGTTAGTCCTCAAAACGTGACAGTGAGTTGCAATTTGGGTCCCACATGTAGACTTCCTTGTGATGTGTGTAAGATTTCTCTGCACCTTGCTAACTGTACTCATACAATGGCAACCACAGTCGATGTGTCATAGCAACACTCCTAATATTAAGCCGTACAACCAAAAACTCTTTAAAAGTAAGAAAATTTAGCATACTGATTGTCAATATTCCAAACAACTCAGGTAAGTGGTATGCTCAAATTATATGGGGAATGCTTAAATTTTATGAATTTATTACAGTAAAAGACACACTGTCATTAGGCCCATTCAAAATTCTCCCCCATGCTGCAAACACACTTACCCCATTGTTCTTGCCACTTTCTGAAGCAGTTCTGGAAGTCCTGTTTTGTGAGTGACTTTACAAAGTATGATCAAAACTATATTGAATGCTGCTGCCAAGTGCCATCCAGAAGAAAGGCAGGCTCATAAAAACATGACAGTGTCCTCATCCACCTATGCACCAGATCTGGCATCTTGTAACTTCTAGCTCTTCTCCAAAGTCAAATGAAAGGAAAATATTTTGGATTAATTCAAGCAGCCATGACAGTACAACTGAAGACACTCATGAAAGAGGACTTTCAGAACTGCTTCACAAAGAGAAAACATAATTGGATAAGTGTGTGGGAAGCAAAGGAGAGATTGTGAGGGGTATCAATGGTAATGCAACCTTTACTGTAATAAATTTTTTAAAATTTAAGCATTTTACTTTTCAATCATACCAAGTACTGAATGCACACCTCAGTCTTGAGCCTCTTGAACTTCTTGAGAACTGACAGGCTAAATAATAAGTTTAACTGCAAAATATAAAATTCAATCTTTCCCAAAATATTCATCTACAGAACCCTTCTAGGGTTACTCTAAAGTATCAGAAGGCTGTGTGTAAATCACATAGATTTATTTGGTCAATCCCATAGAATCATTTTGCATCTAAGTTTAAGACATTGCCATACATAAGATAACCATAAGAAGTTTTTCTTTGTATTTACTGTAAAAGTGAGAGTGAAGATATTTTTCACTAATTTCAACACTATTTTCTTTTATCAACCCATCTAATATATTTCTGTCCTGTAAGAAGTAAAAAGAGCTCTGCCTCTTTTTAAGTTAAGTAATTTTCTTAAAGTTTTGATAAACTGGTTTGTCTTTTTCCTATCTTTTATCTATATGTGCTTCAATTATTTTGTAAGTCACCTCAAATCCTTTTTGGCAAAAGGCAGGAGACAAATAGATACCAAGCTCTATATAGAGACTTTCTTCTCTGCTGATCAAAATAAATCTTTTTCATGGCTGAGATCCACATTTCCTCTCCAGAACCCTTCTACCTTTAGAGAGAATGGCTCTCTCCCTCTTTCTATATCTGGTTCTTGTACCATTATCACAGAACTCAATATTGTTGCCTAGGTGAGTGGGTGGGACCTGATCTATCACCTGAATGATCTATGAATTGTTCATCGAAAGGATTCTTCAACATTTTAATCCCCCTAAACAAATGTGACCAATGGCTTAATTTTTCACTTGTTAAACCTAAGTATTCCCTAAAATTATGGATATCAAGCTTTTAGCACAGTGCTAGGCACTCACTAACACCACCCATGAGTGGGAGGTGGTGACCATTATCATTATTAGTAGTGACATAATTCAAATATGATCCTGGGCTATGTCCCAATGGGAAGGGTGCTGGGTGTTGCTCCTTGTGCACTTATCTCTGATGACACTCTCCTTTGGAAATGAAGAAAGCAAGGCAAGGAATTTGTAATGTAAAAGGCAGGGGTGTGTCATAGGAAGGAATTCTGGTGAAGGGGAAATTTAAAAGTAAAACAGTACCCAGATAGCCAAAAGTCTGTGTAAATTTAACATTTCAGCATCTGTGAAGTATCCTGGTGTTGCTTTTCTTTATTTCTTCCTGTCTTTTGTTAGGTGAATGTTTCCTTTTACCATGAAAATACACAAGATCTTACCTGAATCTCCAAATCATCATGGCACAGTTTTAAGATTACTAAAGGGATTTGTTCTGAGACTGGGAGGATGGCCTGATTAAACCATTTCTATACCATTCCACCACAGTTTAGCCCAATCAAAGAAGTTTTACTTGGGGAAATTAGGATTTTCAAAGTTTTCCAAAATGTACTATTCCTTTTGTAGTCTTTCTTAAAACCACAAATGATCAGTAAAACCTGGACTCAACACAACAGCCATTGCTCAAGTGGCAAAGCTTCTCAGTGGACTTATCATGTCCATGGACTTGACTTTAAAGTATTAATCAAGTCTGCTTATCCTTGAGCCAGGTCCAAGCTTCCTTCCTCTATGATGGCTCGCCTGGGAGAAGCATCACTGCTTCCCGACAGCCCATAGCATGGCCATTTCTGCCTCACTGACTAGGCTCATCTTACTCCAGGGCCACAAAGGCACACAGGTGGCCCATGAATCCTATGTGCATGGAAATATCTTTAATCAGGTGTGCTCAAATGATTCTCCTTTGTTCTTTTATTCCATATTTATTTACAAAGTGTGTGTGTGTGTGTGTGTGTGTGCGTGCATGAACTTATGTAATTTTCTTTTTTTTTTCAGGAAAGCAAATATTGTTAGATGAGATTAAGGTAGAAACTGAGTGTGGTGGGACATTCCTGTAACACCTGCACTCAAGAGGCTAAGCCAGGAGGATTGCTACAATTCAAGGATAGCCTCACTACATAGTGAGTTCAAGGCCCACTGGAACTATATGGCAAGACCCTGTCTCACAAAAACAAAAATAAGACATAAAAGCAAACTAACACAAACTAACCAACTACATTAGAATCCCTCAGAGAGGAGAAAACTGTCTTAGTTTAACAATACCTTTGTTTGCCAATCTGGATATAAAAACAAAACAAATTTCAGAGTATGGCTGCAGCAATCTTGTAGATGAGAAAAATGAATCGGTAAGAGGCTTTGGAGGTGGAGAAATCCAACTATAAGCGAAAGGAGAAAAGATGCAAGGGAAGTATGAGCCCTAATTAATAGGAAGTTGGAGGTCAAAGAGAAGAGACAAGCAGTGAGATCCCCTAAGCAGAGTAACTGAGCCCTTGTGGTAACAGGGAACTCAATGCTCCATTTTACAGGGCTGCCTGATGCCCATGCTTCTCTGAGGAATAAATGCCCTCCCCAGCTGCAAACCACCAGGAATTCAATGGAACCACAAGTCATCAAAAGACTTGAGGTAGAAGGATTTCTAATGGGACAAAATGATGTTTCACAAAAGCAAAACAGAGATAAAAGAAACAGCAAAGGTAGAAGCACAAAGCTAAAAGTGATTAAGGACCATACCAGACCCCAGAGATCCCCCCAGAGATTTTGCGGACACTTCCCCACCACAATGAAATTGGTAACAGCACCTCTACACACACAGGAGTTCCATTTTCAGCAACTTTATTTCACAGCTTCTTGAAAAGGTTTCATGGGAGAAAGTACATTAAATGTGCAATTTAGTGCCCAGAACACAGTGAATGCTTAGAAAAAGTCCTCACACTGTCTTCTTGCTGTTACCTGCCAAACCTCCCTTTCACTGCATGTCATCTTCCTGCACCCCTTGCCCCTGCAGGTAACTGGAGTCTGCATCTTTCCATGACATCATTTCCAACACTGCTAGGAAATGTGCCACTAACAGCCTTCAGCCAATTACAGCTTCTTCAGTCCTGCTCGAGCTCATCTCCAGGAGCAGTGTCCTAGGTCACCTGGGGTCCAGGTTCCAGATCAACTGAAGACAAGAGAAGAAGCCACACCCTGTTCACATCTCCCACTCCCATGATTCCAGGAGGAGGAGTCTCTAGTGAGCCAGGAACCAGGGTCATCCCAGAACCCCAGGGAGCAGTGCGCATACACACTGTACACAGAAACTCCCAAAAGAAATTCATTATTCTTTGACCTGAAAATAGTCACTCACCCAAGCATTTGGGGCAGCACTGTCCTGGGGGTGTGTGACTAAGGTGCTGGGGACAAGAGAGAATGGGACAGACTTCTCTCACGCACTGTGTCCTGCCTCCCTAAGAAAAGAGAGGGAAAAAAGGCACATTTAGAAAAGTCAGTGCATATAGATTGCACAACCAAGACATCCTGAACAGACCTAGAGCCCTTCCCGAAGATCCTGAGACTCTCCGTACCTCTGGGTCCCTAATCCATATGATTCCCTCAAGTAACCTTTGACCCTCCATGTGGATGCTTCAACTAATAGCTGCAAAAGACAGCCCCCAAAGGTGATCACAGACAGGATCACCTCTCCTTGCCTGCTACCACCTGCTTTTATCTAGTCCCTTTCAAGACTCACTTTGGCATAAGTCTAGAGCAGTGAAGGTGAACTTTTAGAGACAAGGGCCCAAACTGCAACCCCCAAACCACACATTTACTGCAAAGTGCCAACACTACAATTAAACCCAAATACTGAGGTTTTAGTTTAGAAACAACTCATACATTAGCATCTCTTGTCTTAAAAAACAAATAATACACATGCCATAGGTGCACCATCACGGGTCCCTCTGCAACCTTTTCCCTCTGCCTAAGATTTCAGACATCTGGTACCAATACCAGGGAAGTTTCATGCAAACCAGGATGAGTAGGCCATTCCCAAAGCTCCTGCCTCTCTCTCCACCCCAATCTCACCCATATATAGAACCTTCAGTGTTTCATGAGACTTTTCCTCCTTTTTCAGCACCCATTCCCATCTAGCTCCTGTTTTGCTTTGTTTTGGGTACCAGGAATCAAACTCAGGACCTTGTGCTTGCAAGGCCAGTATAGTGCCATTGAGTTAAATCCCCGGCCCCAGATAACTTCTTGCATGAAGACCCCACTCTGCACAGCTAGAAAGTGTGCCTGGGATGGCCTGGTGGTAGTCCATCCGGCAGAAGTGGCCATTCTGCTGTAAGTGGAAGCTTGGAAAGCCACATTTATGAGAACCCACTCCCTGGCTTCAGCAAGCTAACCGCATCTGGTTCCCTTAATTAAGCATAGGCCTGATGATTGATTTGAGAAGAACTGGCATAGCCTTGAGGCTTATGGGAGAAGTTTTGAAGCCTTCAAATATTTTCCCTACTTTCCTACCCTCATTCTGCACCCTTTCTGTTCCCATAACCCACTGGGAATGAGGGCTGGAAATGATTCTGTAGCATGTGAAATGGCACTCACCCTTTGATCAGGATGCAGAGCCTGGCTGCCTAGCTGGACCTAGGAGCAGGGCCGCTTAACAGTTACCAAAAATTCTCTCCAAATGTGGTAAAAGTCATCATAACTGAATCAGCTAAATTCTACTACATTTTAAAGAATTGTTTCCTGTACTCATGTTCCTGTACTCAAGACTGGAATTCACTGTTAATTCTGAGATGGTGGTTGGAAGAAAGGAAAGAGCTTGGGAGTGTAGTTTAAAAAGAAGATGCAACCTGAGTAGGAAGGGTTCTACACGGTCCCTAATCCTTCACCATAGCCACGGTGCAAAGCTGACTTTTGCACATAAGAACCCCTCAGAATTAGGAACTGGATCAAAAATCTTCACAAAAGTGGCAGCTTTCCTTAGCCATACCTCTTTTGGACCTGGAATTTTGTTTTGCTTATGTTTAGGTCATAGCACCTACTTACAAGGGTGAAGACTTTGGTACTAGACTTCCCCTGTTCTTGGCCAGCACTGGATAGAAAACCTGCCAATCAAAGCAGATGAGCTGTTGGGCTGAGAGGGCTGAGGAAGAGGCACAGGAGAGACAGGAGTCCTCCCCGACATGAAGTAGGGGGCGGGCACAGGTTTGTGTGACCTGTGCCTAAGTATGCCATCCTCATCCCTAAGGTAGGGACTAAGGCTTGACTTACCTTAAGGCTAAGACTAAATTTGAGGTACCTGCTCAGAAATGTGCTACCCAGCAAAAAAAGTGGCAGGCCTGACATGTAATTCAGTTCCAACTTCCAAGCCTAGTTGCTTCCTTCCCTCTACTCTGCTCTTCCAAAGGCAGTTTCTCAGCATGGATAGAGCTTAACTATCTGATGGTCAGAACTCCCTCCCCTTTGAGCCATTTTTGCCTTTTCTGGTAGATTCTGGATGCATCTTTATGTCTATTTCTTAGGCTTAAATAACTTGGATAAAATGTATTACCTCTATGTTATTATCTACTAAGATAAAAAAATCCAAATCATGCTCCAACCTTATTTTCCTCCGGGGCTTATTCCTATCAGGTTCTCTTCTCTTCCCCACCCCTTCTTAAGCTATTTTACTCCCCAAACTAGATTTGCCAAAATAGGAAGTCTCAGAGCTTAGGGCTTCTTTCTTCCTCTTCTCCAGAAAGAGGAGAAAGCCCTCACTATCATTCTTACACCCAACTGAGAACCCACCAATGAGGCCCGTGATATGCCTCTTCCATTTGGGGGACTCTGCAAATTCTGATGAGGCACCATCATGTTTAGCAACCTGCAATGACTGTCATATTCAGAACTCTGCAATGACTGGGTTTCTACCTAGGTCAGACTCACCCATGGAGCTCTTCAGTAAAGGATGCAGAGGGCTTCGCTTCCAAGATGCTGGTGCAGTAACAGCATTTGGACTTTATTCAAGCTGCAGCTCTACCCCTCCCAGGCTGTACTGCCGTCTTCCAACTCCAAACCCTCTCATGCCTGCCAGGGCTCCTGGGCTGAGGCTGGGAGTCTACAACCAGATCTCCAGCACAGGCTCTGTGGCAGGGGTACCAGATGGAGCGGCTGCTTCTTTTTGCCGTCTCCAGCAGCCTCCTGTTCTCAGGATCTGCAGTGAGCAGCTTTTCCCCAAATCAGCAACCTAAGTACATTTCCACTGCTGCCCACACCTCATACACACCAAACCAATCTCAACTCAGCATGATGGTGTACAGCTCCCAACACTTTGGTGGGATGAGGCAGGAAGATCACAAGTTCAAGTCCAATGCACACAATTTAGGAACCTAACAAGATCCTGTCTCAAAATAAAAATTAAAAAGCTACTGCGGATGTATCTCTGTGAAGGCCCTGGGTTTAAGCCCTAGTTCTGCCAAACAAACAGAGCTGGTTTCTCCACCTTTTCTGACTTCTTGACATGGCTGCCTTTCTGTAGCCCAGGACCCTTCTTGCTCAAAGCCATCATTGTGACATCTTCCTGTCTCTCCCCCATCTCCTTCCCTAACCCTAGCCTCCTCCTTCTTCCCTTTGATGGGGACTTTGTTAGAGGCACACATAGGATGCTCATCCCACAGCCATATCCTTAGTGTGCCCCATCAGCACAATTCCTTACCACATACATCACATTTGCAGGTCTAAGGGATAATGACATGAACAACTTGGGTGAGGAAGCATTATTCTGTCCATCACAGTCATAGAGAAATAACACTTATTCCTCTGTGTAGTGTCAGACATATTTCAGGACTGATGTCACCCAGCACACTAAAGAAATATGTTTTGCAGAAGCTAGTCTCCAGAAAAGAAAGCCCAGAGTCTCAGTATGAGTACTATGATGCAGTGTGCAAACTAACAAATGCAGTCCCCTTCTTATCCATTCTTTCTTTTAGAAGCTGAAGATGAAAGCAGACAATCTGATGTCTGTAGGAGACATCCCTGCCCAGTACCTGTGGGGCATGTGGCACATGCTTCTTCCCTTCCCTAATTCAGCTATACTGTATTATATCAGGAGTCAGACTGAAGCTCTGCATGACTAAAACGGGCGTGTTAGCGAACAGAGTTGGACTAGTATTGCTTCTCTGCTAATGGCTGTCACTGAGGCCTAAGTCCTGGTCAGTGAAGTGGCAGGGCCCTGATAAGTTACATGCCACTGAGGTCAGTGTGATCCCAATTATAATTCTTTACCCTGAATTACTGCTTTTCACTGACCTTGTGAGCTACTTGCTAATTGCACCTGGTCGCAATACCAGTTTCTTCTATTCTAGCAAGATAAGCAGTGTCTACTCCCTGATAACCTTGCCTGGTGCCATCAAGCCAGGTGTTCAGCAGTAATTCACTAGATGACTTCAAGCATGCCCTACTCCCTATTCCTTCCCATGATTGTATTCAATAAATACTGGATTGCTTTGGGGCCTTTGTCTTTGCTGCCATCAACAGCACTGACCCGGACCCGAGACTCAGCTTCTCCACTCTAAGTCTTGTTTCTGTCTGTTCTTGAATTCACCTTGCGCTGTGATGGCTCACAGGCCAGGACCCATGGTAGAGGTAGAGGTCCTGATAACTTCCCCTTCCCCACCCCCTACAGATGACCCCTTCTCTTTTTCTTAATTGTCACAGGAAAACCTCAGCACTAACAGACAGCATCACAGGAACTTTCCACATCACAGAAACCTCTCCTTGCTGTCCCTGTTGTGAGAGCCCTGATGGCCACACTGAGCCCGGAAGCTAATTTTTCCCCTATGCTGTGGGTTTTAGCCAGTCACTCTCTGGTGCATGCCATCATACCCAGAAAGAATGCCAGTGTCCTCATGAGGACAGACAGATGACTCTCAAGAGTCTGACCATGTCATCCTAGTCCAAGTTTCCTGCTAAACTTGTAGCAAATGCCTGTATTGGTCACAGCCAAATACATTGCCTGCACCAGGTAGCCTGGGCTGCCAAAAGCCTGGGAAGATGCTATCCTTCAGCAATGGCCCAGTTGCATGGGGATAGCCTTAGAGGTCAATGTGCGGATGGGGCAGAGCCAAAGACCATAACTTCATGAAATACTTATTGCGTTAATAAAGAAAGAAGTGATGGGAATGTCTGTATTATGGCTCTGCTGGCCTCATTTTCTACTAATAAATTTCAGTATGGTGTTTGTCTCATATCTAAAGGTAAGCTCTGTCTCATCTTCCTGTTGAACTCCTGATCTTAGCTATCACCTGACATTTAGCTGAATGGTAGGTTTTTGTTTTTTATAATGGTTTTGGTTTTTGCTTTGAAAAGGAAAACTGAATAATCTTTCCCTCCCCAAACCCAGGCTTTTGACTCTGGCAGATACTTGAATCATAGATGTAATAGGAATGCCATTTGATGTGTGTTCCAAGTGGCTATGTGTTTCCAC